GCAGGTATTTTGAGGACTTACTGCAGCTCAAAGGTCAATGTCGGGCCGCAGGAGGAGAGTTCTTGAGCTGGAACGACATCCAGGACAGCGTGAATGCCACCAATTCCTCAGTGCAAGATGAAAACGACCGTGAGTGCTGCCCGCGTTGGGTCAAGCAGGGGGTTTGCATGGGGAGCCCAGCCCTAAGGAGACAGCAGAGAGTCTCGCGCTGCTGGGTGGGAGCTGATCCCTGCACCCCATCCCTCCCGTGCAGGAATCGTGGCTGTGAGGCTCATCAATGAGGCGCTGCTGCAGGAGGACCCCGAGAAGACGCTGTCGGCGCTGCTGCTGCAGGCGGCTGCCCTGCCCCACGTCGCCCTCCCCACTGCCCAGCGCTACCACCATGTCCTGGCCCGGGCACGGAGGATGAAAGCCCAGGTTGGGTGGAATCCCCTTGGCCAATGTGGGGAGAGCAGAAGGTGCTTGAGGGGTGGTGATGTGCAGACCAGGGCTCACTAGAGCCCATCTTCCTGATGATGAGAGAGCTGGGCTGGGTCAGCTGGAGGAGAGAAGGCTTCTGAAGGGGACACCTTAGAGCAGCTCCAGGGCCTAAAGGGGCTCCAGGAAACCTGGAGAGGGGCTTTGGACAAGGGATGGAGGGACAGGACAAGGGGAATGGCTTGAACCTGCCAGAGAGGAGATTGAGGTGGGATCAGAGGCAGAAGTTGTTACCTGTGAGGGTGCTGAGGTGCTGGCACGGGGTGCCCACGGTTGGAGCTGGATGAGCTTTATGGTGCCTTCAACCCAAACCTGTCTGTGATGCCCTCACTGTCTCACAGGCCACAGGGGATGAGGGAGCTGTGCTCTGGTGGGAAGAGATCCAGGAAGGGGTCTGCAAGGCCAACGAGGACACTGAGGCAGCCAGGAGGAGTGAGTGCTCTCCCCAGTGTCGTGCCCCTGCAGCCAGGGGGGAGGCAAGGAGAGTCTCACAAGGGCCCCCTCTGTCCCTGCAGTGGCTCTGGGCATCACTGCCATCAACCAGGCCATCAAGGAGGGGAAGGTGACCCAGACCCTGCGGGTGCTGCTCAACCCCGCC